CTTATGTACTTGCCATAGAAATAATTGCGTATATTGTTAATGTCTTGGGGACCTGCATGTCCCAATGAACATTCTTGCTACTTTGGTACATTTTGTCCTCACATTCTCCATTACATCAATACAGATTTACAAAAAAAAAAAAATAATTGCATCTATGAATTTGTTACCATTTTTTAAATCCATAGATAAGTCACACTCCTTACTTGTGACCCAATATAGCGGACATCACAAACCCTTCCCCTATGGTTGTTACGCAAATCATGTTTGGACTTAATTAGAAGATTGTGCTGGTCATATTCCAAATATAACAAAATGAGACTTAATTATTATTCTGTGGGTAAATATTAATGTTTCTTTTGGATATGATACTTGAACACCACGCTTGTTTTTATGTTGTGTTTTTTTTTTTTCTCTTGGAAGCTAATGATCATTAAGATATCAAAGAAATCAACTCATCAATTAAAAGGTACAGGTCTTATGCCTGAAGTCAGCTAGTTCATATTTCCAGGCCCCTTATGTGTGACTTCTCACACCTTGCAGAGCCTTTGAGTAATCAAAGGATCAATCCATATGGCAAACCATCTGACCCCTTTGTGGCAAACCTAGCCACTTGGACATTATTTAAGTACTATCGCTTTAAGGGTTGCCTGTATGATTTTTGTGTTATGTGTGTTTCTGGATATAATGTAATACGATTGTGTAGCATTGTATTGCCTGCATTCAGCAGATAGCTGATTCCCATTCGTTTCACGAACCGCACCTTTGCGGGCCGTTCGTGAACCAAAATTACCACCCTGTAACAGCCCACACATTGAGATACGTGTGGCGCTCGTTAACCGATTACAACAATGTTGCAATCGGTAATTAGAGGCTCTCCAAGGTGGCCGTCGTTCGGCTACCGGCGGTCGGCCATCTTGGATTCTTTGTTCCCCAGCGGTGTTTGGTCGTCGAGCGCGTGGTACTAAAAATGGCTACTCGACGGCGCGAACACCACTGGACTTCCAGGCCGTTCGGGAGTTCCGGGCCGTTCAGTATTTTATTCCCTATACATCAATCGGTCTTTTTGGTATGTGTTTTAATGAATGTTTTTCGTGCGGCGTTTCGTTGTTTTAGCTGGGATCTGAGCGGTAAACTCACGAATGATGCGCTCAGACCCCAGCTATCTACCGAACGTCCATTCGTGCAAATAGACCTAACATTCAAAAAACGGTGTATTTTAAAGTAAATTGCCGGTTCTGCTGCACGGAGGGATAATCCACTTAATGGCACATTCCGGTGGGAGGATCCCTCTCATGCAGCAGTGCCTGATGGGGGAAAGGCTCTGTAATGTAAGTTCCCCACGTAGTCCACTCTGGGAATACCTCTGGGATAGGACTCAGGAAACCCCTTGCATGGGGAATTGTATAAATTGTGGAGCCTGTGACTAAAGCCTTCAGTTGACTCTCAGAACTGTGTTTCGTCCGGTTACTGGGAGATTGCCTTGCTTTTCAGCGCTTGACTGTGGATTACCTTCTGAACCAGCGGAGATCATGGGATTTATTATTGCCGCTCCGCTACACCCATTCACATTCTTATGCAATTTACATTACCCCTTGTGTCATCTGACCTTGCAACCAAGTGGCCAATTCATATATGCACTTCACACATTACATTAAATGGCAATATTCTGTTGTGCAACAATGAATTATGCACCCTTGGCGTGACAAATACCAAGTCAGGGGTCTATTGCTCAGTGATCTATCCAAGGGGAGCAAGAGGTTGCAGGAATGAGGTTGATCGAGTCAGTGTCAAAGAGGCCTATAAGCAGGAGAGTTAAGCTGGGTCATTGGCTTTAGCAACAGTTGTGCTTTATCATCAGTTATAGAGAAATACGTGTGGAAACCAGACTCCTTAATTAAGCCTAGAGGACCTGTAGAATAAAGCTTTAATAGGCAGCTAGTTAAAGGCCAAGTGGAACTCAGACTCCAAATGGGAAAAAATGCTTCGAAGTTGCCTTCCCTCATTAGGGAGGTCAGGATGCTCTGTCTCCTAGTAGCGCTCCGGATCACAATCAAGAACCAGGTAAGTAGGTATAAACAAATTTACTTGAAATATCAAATGGATAAATGGTGTGTGTGTATGTATGTATGTATGTATGTATGTATGTATGTATGTATGTATGTATGTATGTATGTATGTGTGTGTATATATATATATATATATATATATATATATATATATATATATATATATATATATATATATATATATATATATATATATATATGTATATAAAAACAATAGGTTGCCAGTCCTACGCATTTAGTTTTAATGGAAACTTCCTCAGGGATCAATATTTGCGCAGTTACAATAAAAACATTTTCAGTAACAATGTCGTCCTATCCACTCCCTGTACCCATTCCCTTAAATAGGGTGGTTCCTGATGCCTCTGGTGTGTAAGGGGGAGTGCCTATTCCTTCTCCCAATCTGTTTTCTCCAATGCTCATCTCGGCAGCTGTTTCTAATGATTCCGTTCGAGCCGCGTAATTCCGTGTTCATCTCCACTTCCGGTTGCGTTCCACTGCTTACTTCCTTGCGTTTCAAATGTTGAATGAAGCTTTATTGTCCCAAAGCCAACACAAAAACCCTGGGTTTTGGTTATCTTTAGCTCTAATGAAACCAAAAGGAGAGGCAATAAGGAAAAAAACATATATGCCCAAGTTGTAGAGAACACCCCTAATCGAGATAAAGGTAGCAAGAGGACCTAATCATAGAGCGACTATGATAACAAATTACTTTCAACCAAGGAAAGAGGGATGGGAACATAAAAAGTTTCCACACTCCAAATTATCCAAGCTCAAAGGGAATCACCCAGAGAGAGGATGAGGGTCGAGGACGATGCAACAAACACCCAGATAGAGCGCAGATTCTACCAAAGATAGGTTAAAAATACCTTTATCAGTTTCTATCTGGTCTAACCCTATCAAATAAAGAAATGTCAATCTTAGAGAGAAGTTTGAAATTCACCCCAGATAAGGGAGCTGATCATTTTGACCTTTTTATTGATTTGAAGAGATTTATCAGATCCCTAACTGTAAAGAGACATTTTTAAAGAATACCCCAAACAGTAATATAATGGAAGATAAACAAAAAGAAGCTTGAGACTGTAAATTTAAACGGAAATCTACTTTTTTCTGGCTCAGGACAAAGGTCCTTTTCTGGAAATTGGTGGATAGAGAATTGGGTAAAATTAAAAAAGGGAAAACATTTCACCATAATTTGAGTAGGGAGGAAAATATATTCTTAAAATAACTACCAAAAAGAGAAGATATAATAATTAGAGAAGCAGACAAGGAGTGGGGATAGTGGTACTATCAAAGGAGAATTACATATTCGAATCAAACAATATCCTAAGTGATAGTAAAATATCCCATGGAATTTAACCTTGATTTAAAACAACTCCCAATGAAAGCGAGGGATGAGAATAAAATCACTAAACAAAAATTTAGATTTTCTTCACCAAAAAAATCCAGTTATACCTATCAACGTGCCTACGTTGCACAAATACTTATATTTTCCTACTTGGCGTCCCATTAGAAGTGGGATGAATTCAATAGCAGCAAACATGGGCGTCCGCAGGAATTTTTCCGGGGGGGGGCATAATTGTAATGACATCCATGCTTGGTACCTTTTTGACAGTGTCATGAAAGGGAAGGGGCATAGCCATTATCACATAAAGCCAGGGTGAATAGCGTTTTCACAACTATGGTGTCAGGAATATATGTTTGTATTCCTGACACTATAGTGTTCCTTAAGCAAATTAAAGGACATTTCTGGTCACCATAACAACTTCACCTAAATGAAAATGCTATGATGCCAGGAAGCCCCTGGGTGCTCGCTTTCCTTTAAGGGGTTAAATCGCTCTCAAATGGTTTAACCCCAAAGGCTTCCTCCAGCTCCAGGTCGCTCAGTGGTATTTGGCTTCTGAAACAGAGTGTCAGGAAGTGCAGATTGACGTCAGGCATGGGTGCCGCTGATTGGCTAGAGTGGTCAGTTGACGCTCTAAGCCAATCGCTAGTTCCCAGTTCATAAAATATTTTTACTTTTTTATGAATGGGGAGCTACTGATTGGCTTAGAGTGCCAGCTGACCGCTCTAGCCAATCAGCAACACCCCTACCCAACAGCACTCTGTGCTTCCTGACACTCAGTAAATAAAAGTGAACACATTAATACTGATATTTTTTTACCTTTGGAGATGAGAAGGTCCAGCATTTCCCTGCCTGGCCCAGGTACCAAAGCCTTATGATATGGTGTCCAGAATAAAGTGGAGGGTTCACTTCATTTGTCCTTCCTGCTCCAATCTCCTTTTCCTCTCCTTCATTTGACAGTCTTTTTTTTTCTTCTGACACTGTTTTCTATCCTTGGCCCCTTCTGCTCTTTTACCTTTCTGCTACTTTCTGCTTATTTTGCGCCCTTCTGCTCCTTTCTCATTCCGATCCCTTTCTGCTCCTTGCAGACCCTTTCTGCTTCCTTTTCTACTTAACCTTTGTGCTCCTTGCTGTCCCTTTGTGCTCCTTCCTGTTCCTTGCAGGCCCTTCCTGCTCCTTCTCCTACTTTATGTTTGTGCTCCTTCTGCCCCTTCCAGCTCATTTCTGACCCTTTCTGCTTCCTTTTCTACTTAACCTTTGTGCTCCTTGCTGTCCCTTTGCTGCTCCTTCCTGTTCATTTCTATATATCTATAGGCTGCTGCCCCCCTCCCCAAATCTATGGGCTGCTGCCCCCCAAATCTATGGGCTGCTGCCCCCAAATCTATAGGCTG